GAAAGTTTGGAAATAGGTCATATTATTGCATAACTGTTTCGTGTTTGAGTTTCATTCACCCCTGTGATGGTGTGACATCAAATAACTTCACATAGGCCTATAGTTTTTGGCCTTCACACTTTGTCCTATGCCTGAGCCCCTGAGAGCTATTGAACAGGTGTCTCCAGAAAACCTCCCAACATTTTACGGACTGTCGGATGTGTATTTGGTCACTTTCATGACCGGTGCTATTACGTCCAGCATCTGAGGAAACAAGCATTGGGATCTCATTACTGCCTCAGTACATACACACTGAGTCAAATTAAGTTTAGGGCCTGATCTATGGTGTCACTTTTTCTGATTTGCACTTTTTTCCTATATGTCCAAATGCTCAAGAGAACACGATCAAAAAATCTGAGTGCATTATCTCATTTTATGGCATTCCAACATGTAGTCATCCAGCAGTACTTGATCAAATGCAGCAGCCTTCTCGCAATTATATCTCGGCGTTTTTATGATGTATTAGGAAGACATGCAGCTGGTTGTATCATTTAACCAAATAAAATCTTTAACTTTTCACTCAAATGTGTTTTGAGTTCATTGTTCTACTTCCACATTTCCACCTTTTTTTTCAGCTTCATAACTGTTGTGAGGCAGCACAACTTACCAAATCAGATATGTTCACATCATTACGATAATGAGGAGAATAAAAAAATATCTTTCTGATGAGGGACCAACGGCATCTGAGTGGATGTCGAAAAAAAATCTGCTAATGGAACCATTACCTTAAAGGGTAGTGGAGAGGGCTGAAGGCATATTAATTTGTCAGAGCCTGTCACAGTCAAATGACGCAGAATGGTTTATAAATCACACTCAGGCTGCAATTTCAGTTAATCCTTGGCACATCTTTTGAATAGTGTCTTCGTCCAGATCAGCCTTGTGTTGCCAGGCCAAAAGCGTAGCTTGTCCTGGCTTCAAAATGTTTGCTTTGGCCAGTTGTGTCACCCTCATGACTGAAAAAATGTCAGCTGCAGCCAGTGATTTGTTTTAAAGACTAAATAATGCTTCCCACTAAAGTAATAAGAAATACACAAATAAGCTACTCCAATGTTGTTCTGTTGCTATAGAAGTAACTGCACCGAGATTTATTAAACTGAAGTGGATATTTTACTGTTCTGGTTTACAGTCCCGCCTTATTACATTTCTCCTAGGGTTTGATTAAAAAAAAGAAAAAAAAAAAAAGGAAACTTTAAAATTAATGTCCACGCATTCTTTGTTTGATTTAACACTGGTGAATAAATAAGAAGAGGGGGGTAAGGATTCATTCAACCCTGCTCTTAAAGTTATGACTTGACTCTTATATGTTATCTAGTAGCTTGCTGAACTGAGAGGGGGCCCACAAAGGGCAGATTTAACTGTGAAACATTACTCATTCGATGGAAAATGACTGTTCCTGGAAAAGGGAAACATCTTGTAGAGATGTGTCTCTGTTTCACATCTTTAGGTTCCGTTCCCCAGGATCAAATTACTTTTCTCACTGAAAAAGGTAAGGAAAACTCAGGCTGTCCCTCGCTTTATTGGCCTCAGTAAAAAGACATGTTTTCACTTAAGTGTTTTTTTTTCTGGAACACGGTGAACAGTTTGTGCTTTTGCTACCTTCAATCTAATTGATTGAATATGCCGATTTTGAAGTAATTTCCAAACTTACAGAATGCAGAAATGTAAAGTGGAAAAGCTTGTGAGGGCATGTTGATATGTTTCATTGATTATTTTTCAAAAGCAACGCTGAGCAAGTGTTGGATTTAAAAGTGTTTCAGCTGTTTTGCAGTTTTATGGACGTTTGCTCCAGATTTGTGGTGCATAGAAGCTGAATGGTGCTTCTCCATTCTTTGTGAGTGGGATATATGAGGCAGAAAGGGAACGTTATGTTCCCAGAGTAAATGTGGAGTCGGTAAAATGGGCAGGTGTAAAGATTTAGGTGAGATTGACGAGAGACAAATGGTGATTGTTTAATGACTGGGTGAGAGCATCTCCACAGCGTCACCTCTTGTGAGGTGATTCCAGTCTGCAGCAGTCAGTCAAAAGTGGTCTGAAGACAGTGTAAAATTAAATTCCTTTATTGTCACTGCACATTGTAGAAAAATGAAATTTAGACACAATAATAATAAAATTAAAATAAAAACCTCACAGCTCAACACAAAAGTGCAATGCTGCTTGGTGTGGATTTTTCTACTCTTGGAAAGAAGGTCACTGGTTTGTACCGAAAGATGCCAGAATACGCAGTGCACTGCAGTTTGTCCCATTTAGGGTTAGGATGCTGCAGACCAATCGGGGTGTCCACACTGAAAGGATTAACAATCAGAACTGGACCATGGAGAAATGGAAGAAGGGGGTTTGGGTTGATGAATCACATTTCCCTTCACATTAACAGAGTGGCTGTGTGTTTCAAACCTGTGCTTCCGACCTTTCCAGATTAGATCCACAGACTGGGTTGTGTAGTGTGGTGATGTGGGCAATGCTGTGCTGGGACAACTTGGGCCCAACTACAGACGTGAACGATATTTGACATTATTGTTCATTATTGTGTCATGGAAAATTTGTTTCCTACTATGTGATCATCCACACTGCCTCAAGGTGAAATGTTTCAGAAATGGCTTCAAAACAGCCTTGAACTTGGGTTGCTAAATCTGTCCACATGTCAGTCCATTCCACCATCTTTGGGATGTGTTGAACAAACAAGTCTGGTCCATAAAGGCCCCACATCCCATCTCACAAGACTACTGCTAACATCTTGGTGCCAGATATCACAACACACACATTCAGGGCCAGAGAGAAGGCAATGCCTTAATGGTTAGGGATTTGTTTGGATGCAAGTAATTACCACCACAAAGCAGGTGGTCGTAATATTTTTTCTGACTGACATATTCTCAATAAATCCCTCTGCAACAGCACTCCACATCATGAAGTCTGCAATAAATGGCTACAACATTTTGTTAAAATTTTGTTCCAGCTTAGTGGGAGGTATTTTTTGAAACAAGAATGTATTTATGTGCATGCAATTTTCTTCCCTTCTTTTTTTTTTTTAACTTGGAAGACAAGGATTTGGCTATTTTACTGTATGTTTGAAAACTATTTCCTCCAGAATCCTCAACTGACTCATTTCTGGTGTTCTGGAATTAATTTACACTTTGCGTCCAGGAAATAGGACGTCCCTTCCATTTCCCAAGGTGTTCACATTTGCGTGCTGTTGTTTGTACCAGTGACTGCGGTCCCACCAGACGGTTTAGAAATGGATCCGAGGGATAAACTGAACTTGAAGTCACACAGCTCTTTTTAAATATTTTGTTGAAGTCTTTGATATTTGTTTTGATTCTCCCATGATGTGAGACAAACAGACATGGATTTTTCAGAATCCGCTTCATTAAGACACAAATCATGTCAGAGTGGACACTTCTCAAATTGTGACCTCATTTTCTTGGACTTTCCAGAAATATTTAAATGTGATATGCAAACTTAAGCCCCATCACAAGCACTAAAGTTTAGAAACAGGGATATCTCCATAAACAATTGAAATAAAAAGTCTGTCATGAGTAATTGTAAAAAATGATGTTGACTGTATCATAGAAGTTAGCCTTTAATGTTGTCTTTGGCCACATCATGACGTAAAAGGAATTTCAGATAACTGAGGCAGTTTTTAATTATGTTCCTCCTTTTGGCACAGTGTGAAATTGCTGCACTCGATCGTGCCAGTAACAAAAAAAGGTTTTTGCACTGCTTAAACATTATTCCTTTGAGTCCCTTCATGCTTTGTGTTTACTGTTTGAACACCGAGTTTCCTGAACCACTTCGCAGTGCGTTCGGACCACTGCAGTCATTATTTGGCAATGTGGGATCTTTAAAAAGAGAGTTTAGAAATACTTCCCAGTGAGACTTCCCTCAAAGTGAAACACAAGACCCATTACAGTCCATTCGGGCGGTTTCGCGTTACAAAGAAAGCCTACAAAATATTGTTTGATTTGGAATGAAGATAGCATCCAAGTGAATCAGACTTTTTGCAGACAAAATTTAAATGTGCGTCGGCTGGTGGAAATGTGTTTAATGCATCTTTATTTCCCCCTAGTGTCTGAAAGTGGAAAATACATAGGATGATTTTAATTTTAGTTATGAAGATGCATCAAATTGCCTATCTTTTCTGTGAATGATTAGTATCTAATTTACTTTTCATTTCATAAACATTTATTTATTTATGGCAAACTCTTCAGTTTGTAAGCTTTCCATGAAATTTTGCCAGGTTATTTTCACTCCTATTTAAAACTATTTGAATACTTCAGCAGGCGTTTACTGATCATATAATAATAATAATAATAATAATAATAATAATAATAATAATAATAATAATAATAATAATAATAATAATAATAATAATAATAATAAGTGTTAATTTTATTAACACTTCCGTTTAATAGTAGCCTAATCAAAACTGAAGAAAAAACAAGCAAACAAACAAACAAAACAAAACAAAACAAAAAAAAAAACAGCGCATATCCTGCACTGCGCTTTTCGACTCGTTGCTTTCCTGTAACCAAATAGAGTCAAAGCAAAGAGGAAAAAAATTACAGTTATCACTCTGCTATTTTCTTCCGGACAAATAAACATACATCAGCAACGGAAAACATTAAAAAAATTGCATAAAAACATGGAACTACAATATTAATGAAAGACTATACACTACAAATTACCCAACAATATAACAATTCAAATTAGTTGGCGGGTCAAATGTAAAAACAGGGGTTATTTTTGTTTTCTTTACAATAGTTGTGATTATGGCGACTGGGGTTTCCCGGAATAAATACGCTTCAGTTGCATAAATAGACGATCTTTGTTTGATCTCAGCGATCTGGAGAGTTCTCAACTGCACACGCGCGCTCACGCACGCGGACAGGCACGGATGTCGTTAAGTTTTCAACAGAGGCGTGGGCGTGGCTTCTCAATGGGTGTGGCGGCACATGTGGGGAAGTGTGAGCAGCGACCAGTCGGTGGGGTGATGAACCCGCATCACGGAGAAGTAATCATGACCCAAATCTGAAGGGGAAGAGCTGAGAAATCCCGGCGGCATGGATCTTCAGTGATTCTTTTGTATTGCTTTTGGGAGTGGAAGGTCTCCGAGGCAGGACTACTGGAGGACAGAGGGGGTGAGATTCATTCATGACAAATTATAAATACGTTCTTTTTTTCTTTTCTTCCTAGACAGAGATATTGGATATTGATCGTAAACCATATCCGAAACGGATGATAAACTCGGGTCTCTGTTCAGGCAATAATGACAACAAGTGTTTAAGCAATTTTCTCTTAAGGAAATTACAAAACCATACAAAAGCTGTTAGTTGAGTTCACGATTACATGTTTTCTCATTCCATTCCAAGACATGCGTTCTCTTCGGAGGAAAGTGTTTCATCTGTAACAGGTTGTTAGATCACGGCTCAATTCAAATACTCCATTCATTAAACAACGCTCAGAAAAACTTTTTTTATGAAATAAAACGGCAGACGATGCTTTGCAATAGTGTTCATACTGATTGGACTTTTTTCGCGTTTTGTCACATTGCACCTACAAGTTTCAGTGTATTATATTGTTGTGATAGACCAACACAGAATAGTGTATTGCTAAATTGGAGGGGAAATCATACATGACTTTTCACAGTATTTCTTTAATACTTTCTTTAATAATGAGAAGTGTGTCGTCATTAAACCCAGAAGAGTCAGTGCGTTTTAAAGATGGTTTTAACTAATAGCTCAAGCTCTGCTCTGTCAAATTAGTTGTAGAAGGCCAATTGGATTAAGGTCCAGAGTTTGACTGGGCCATTTTAACCCACAAATATATTTTGATCTAAACTATTTTATTGTTGCTGTCACTGTGGTGTGCAATGTCAGTTTTCCACCACACAGCATTCTGCGAGTATCCAAAATGTTAACTTTTGGTCTCATCTGACCTGAATGGTTCAGATACTTTTGCAAAGCATTATGTGCAGAGAACCGGCTGATAGTCTTGTATAATTATTATTATTATTTTTTTAAAAGGGAATATGTTGCTACATAATAATTTTGTTTTCCACTTTTTCTCTTTAGCAGAAGGATGGGGCTGCTGCAATTTTTAAAATCCCAATTTTTGTGCCACCTGATCATATGCTATGTGTTCCTGGTGAGCGGACTTATTGTCAATCTGATACAGATCTGCACCTTACCTCTGTGGCTGGTCAGTAAGCAGCTGGCCCGCAAGATAAACATCAGACTGGCCTACTGCATTGCAAGTCGTAAGTACTGACCTCCCTGCAACAAAGATGATACTGTGCTGTGTTTTCTATTGTTTCTTTGTTTGCTTTGCTTCTGGAGGAAGAAGCTGATGTTGCAACAAGTGAGGTAAAGAATGCAAACATTGTTGCACAAATGTTATTGGAAAAATTTAAGGTAGCTTTAAGAAGCAAGTTCACTGACAAGACAATGTTAGAATTAAATCAATAAAGTTCTAACAATATACATAAATCCTGTCCAGGAAGATTTGCATAAATATTTCTGTGCAGAACTTTACTGTGAAAAGACATGTAAATGAAATTCAAGATGCACAAAATGAATGAAAGTAGCCAACAGCTAACTAAATCAGCTTCCTCAGTGAAAGTCTCATTAAAATGTTTCTGTAGAATGCATAATTAAACATTACATTTAATTAAAATGATTAATATTTAACCCTCTATGTCATATTTCTTCTTAAATTGTACATTTACTTTTGCCTGTTTGTGTGACTGTGTCCCTATAATCTTTAGAGTTGGTAGCTGTCCTAGAGTGGTGGTCTGGGACAGAATGCACACTCTACACCGATCCAAAAAGCTACTCTCTCTTTGGAAAAGAGAATGCTATTGTGGTCCTCAACCACATGTTTGAGATAGACTTTCTGTGTGGCTGGACCTTCTGTGAGAGATTTGGAGTTCTTGGGGTAAGACGAAATTCTGCTGAGAACCCCAAAGCTTGTTCAAAGTTCTTTGTTCAACCCTAAAAAAAATTATGCTTTAAACTTCCAGAGCTCAAAGGTTTTGGCCAAAAAGGAGCTGGCCTATGTTCCAGTGATTGGCTGGATGTGGTATTTTCTCGAGATAGTTTTCTGCAAAAGGAAGTGGGAGGAGGACCGGACAACTGTGGCTCAGAGCCTTCAGAGACTGCGGGATTATCCTGAAAACTACTGGGTGGGTTTCAGCCTGGGGGGATTTTTTTTTCCAGGTCAAGATGACACATTAATATCTTTCAATCAGGAAATGTTTGGGAAATGCCTGAAAACATATTTTTTTCTCTCACAAGTTCCTGCTTTTCTGTGAAGGAACACGCTTTACCCCAAAGAAACACCAGTTCAGCATGCAAGTAGCTGAAAGCAAAGGTTTACCTAAACTCAAGTACCATCTTCTTCCCAGAACCAAAGGATTTTATGTAACTGTCCAAAACCTCAGAGGGACTGGTGAGTATCTGGCAGCAGTTTTCTTTTTTTTTTTTTCATGGCGTCGTCAGAGATGTCCATACTGCAAGCCTTGTTTGAATGTGGGAAAAGCCAGATAAACGTGCAAATGAGTCACCTCGTCCAGTGAACTGCTGCTTTGTGCTTCCCTGGTGCAGCTGCAGCGATTTACGACTCAACATTAAACTTCAGGAACAATGAAGTACCAACTCTTCTTGGGATTCTTAATGGAAAGAAATATCATGCTGATTTATATGTCAGGTAGGTCAAAATGTTGTACGCCTGTTCATGGCAAGATTACAGCTTTATGATTACTGTTTGGGTGATTGGTGGCCTGTCTCCTTCCTGTCTAATCTAGGAGAATTCCTTTAGAGTCCGTTCCAGAAGATGAGGCAGAGTGTGCCGCCTGGCTACACAAACTTTACCAAGAAAAGGTGAGTGCTGAGGATTAAAAAGAAGCAGGTTAAAAGTAGGCTAAGTAGGTTAAAATACATGTAGCTTTAGTTGGAGAGTAAAATTCATATTCATATGAATGACTCAGATGTGTTTATTATCTAAGACGGTTAAAGGTCAGCCTGTCCTGTTTAGTGCTTTTATGCTGTTGTTGTCATTATTGTTTTTGATCCTAAACAAAGGCTTGACTGAAATGTCATTGAATCGTAATATTATTGATCAAATTATCATCAAAGTAGCAAATTCTTTTCTTTATTCAAATGGAATATTTTACTTCAATAAAGACATAAATGCACCTAGGTTTTCCAGAATGCTCGGTTTTTGGGAAAACCCTGCACATGTTGTAAATGAGCGTCCATCACATAAGATTCCAGTAAACAATAAGATATTAAGTATCTTGTTATTGTTTAAAGGGGACCAGGTTGTGACATTTCAGTTCATATAAGAAACTGCGAGGCATCTGTGATTCTGCTGTATTGCCCAATTTTAAAGAAGTGATGTTTTCCTCTTGTTCTGTTCACAGTTGATTCAAAGTCAGACGAAACGAAAGGCAATTTGATACAGAATCATACATATTATCCACAAAAACAATCACAGGTTATGCATTTGAATTTAAGAAGCTAGATTTCTTTATTTAAAAATAGAAGTTCTTATTTGTGTAATGATTCCAATAAAGTCATACTGCCTCTACTAGACTGACTTATTAAACAATAACTAATATAAAAGTCAATCATTGTGGAAAGAGATAGTTGATAAAGCTAAAAAAAATAGTGGTTGTAAAAAAAAAAAAAACTTTTTTCCCCTGGGATCTTTTTTCTCTCCATCTGGAAAGCTTTTTAGAAAGGGCGGTCAATATGAGTCATTGAGGTTCAGTCAAAATCTCACACAAACTTTTTCGAAGGAAGGCCATAAAATCAAAGACCTCTCTTTGACCCCTGAAAACTCACAGGAGGATGTTACAGACTAAGAACAAACAATTTCAAATCCAGTTTTCCACCACAAAAATGTAGAATGGGTTCAGATAAAGACTTTGATTCGGGAAACTTTGAAAGTCTTTTAATAAACCATTTTAAATATGTAAACTGCCAAAATGAACAGAAAAGTTACCTCTATGTAGGGTAGTCATTGTAATAATGGAGGTGTCCACTTGTACTGTCCAGGCAAGGTATGTTCATTCACTGTATTTAGAAATGTAAACTACAGTAAATCTTGCGATGAAGACCGTAAGGTCATGCAGTGAATTGTGTCATCTTTTTCTCACTCAGGTTGTCACATAGAAATATTGATCAAGGATGCTTATGATTACATCATTTCTGGAGAACAAATGTTCTATGACTTTTTACATCTATGGAGACTCTGTAGGTTGACAATAAAAGTCCTGACTCTGCTATAAACACTAGTAGAATACCTTTTTTTACTTACCTCAGTGAGGTGAAACTGATGTTCTTCAGTGTGTGGGGAGGGTTTGTGCTAAGACAAACCCATGAACAACCAAGATGGCTGTAAAAACAAGCGATTTATTCTGCCAAGTCGGCTCATGGCAAGCTGTGTTTCTGTGTGAACAGGATGGCTTTCAGGAGCAGTATGCACAGACAGGGCGTTTCCCTGGCACCTTCATGAGCCCTCCACGTCGGCCCTGGCCCCTGATCAACTGGCTCTTCTGGTCCTGCGTGGTCCTTTACCCTCTAAGCCTCCTAATCGCCCTACTGCTCAGCTCTGGATCAGTGTTCATCATCCCCGCAGCCTTGGTTGTGTGCTCTGCAGGTTGGTTTCCAGATGCATCTCAATAACTCAATAACTTAACAAACATTTGGTTTAGTCATTCAGTTTAAAAAAAATACATTCTTTCAAGACTTCCTGTTTCTTGTACAACTTTTCCTCCAACACATTTTCCTTCCACTCAACTTTCCATTGATATATTATGACACAACATCCTGCAAGGAGCCAGCTTCTTTAGCATTCAGTTTTTGCCTGTCTGGTGACCAATTGTAGCAGTCAGTCCTCCTCACTACTGCATAGGGTGTAACATAGCCTTTCTGTTCTTAAGGTGTTTTTGTTAGACTTAAGTTGTATTTTCAAATTTTTTGTTGGAAAATTTGAAAATAATCTGCTCTTCCATTTAATGTCAGCCATAATTACTTAAATAACTTCAGATATATATTTCACTCTGTGTATTTAATCGAAATAACATATGGATTTCACATTTTTCAAAAATATATAGATTTTCTCATTTATTAAGTTGTACACATTTTTCAAAATATAGTTGTAGTAAACAATCTCCCAAATTAACCAGCTCTTTTCTGTCCAAACATTTTGCTAGCAGCAGATTTGACATCCCCCAATGTAAGTTCCAATTTTTTTGTAAATTTTGATGTCTGCATGTTCTTAACAACATTCAGGCATGTGTTTATTTCACAAATTTAGATAGTCATCCATCTGAATAAGGAGTAAACCCAAAAATATTTCTGTAACACCATGAGCTCATGAGAAGCATGTTGCTTCACAACATTTTCACAATAAAGGGAGTGCTCTTCCCAGTGTTATTGAAATTAAAATAACAAACGTTCAGATGTCAACTCAATATTAAGCATTTGATGATGTGACTTGTTAAAACAAAAATGTCAGTGTTAACACAAGTGACAACTAATTTCAAATGAACCCTTCTAAAACTCATGTCAAGGAAGAGTTTTGGGAAATATTCATTAAAAATGCATTTTCTGTGGAAATAAAAATATTCTTTATAAACGCTGATCTAATGCAGTAGTATTACAAATAAGCTCTTTTCTCTTACAGGGTCAATGGGAATGCGCTGGATGATTGGCCAGACTGAGATTGACAAAAGCTCAAACTATGGGATTAAGGCTGCTCCTCTAAACAACAATTAAGGATTGCAGCCGTCTTCCGGGCTGGGTTGCGAAAATTCACAGACTAGGTGAACAGCAGCTTGACTGGTAAAACAAGTAGAGGCCTGTTTCAGGGCACAACACAAGCGGGCTTAAAGCTGTGCTGCAGAAACTAAAATGGAAGTTGGAGAAACAGAAACACGGAGGGGGTTAACTTATCTGAGTGGAAATATTTTAACAATACCAAGGAGACGTCTTCACTGAAATCTGAAATCGCAATAAGTCAAATATAGACTACCTCTTTGACTGAAGTGCACTTCAAATGGCATTTGTACTTTGAGATAGTGATACAATTTTACATGTTAAATGTTTGTTGTGGAGGTTTTGTTCAGCGTCAGTGGGCCTTTTTCTCTTCGTTTTTTTGTTCTTGCTCCAGTAAAATCAGCCAACAGCAACAACACTCCCAGAAGGCTTTGAGTTGACATGTAAACCTAAACAATAAAGATGAGAATCAAACTCAACATGCAAATGCAGTAGATGCTTTTATAGCTTTTTCAGCTTGATCTGATTTTAAGACATATTGAATTTCAAAAATATTAATAAAGACTTCATTTTTATTGAAACTACAATTTGTGCATTTTATTAGAATGTTATGCAATCGACCGCACACAAAAAGGACAGGAATGCAAAATTTAAATGGAAAAAAAAGTTATTTATTTGTATATAAATAAAACATCTAAGCCATACTTCTGATTCTCAGTGGAAGTTGGGTGTACTTTGATTGGGACATTCCAAAACATGAATATGATTTCTTGGTAAAAATATAACTATGTACTGGCAGGTCAAATTTCAATTATTTAATTCTTGAACTGTGTCGGGGGCCATAAAATTACTCTTGAGCTGCACTTTAGACTTCCCTGATCAAAACTAGTTCATCGGTCTGGGTGCATGTTTGGAGTTGCCATCATGCCAGGAAATGAACCACTGCCCTACAATTGCTGTGTGATGTCTAACAGGTTTCCTCGTATTTATGCTGAGAATACATAAAACACCCATGATTACTCATTAAATGTGATTGTTGAATGCAGTTGTTGCATGCTAAAATAAGACTCACATCAGCATTGGTTTGTTTATGGTTAAAACACTACAGTTTGCTGAGAGCTCACACAAGCGTCCAGGATTGCACAAGAGTCGAGCTGAGTCAGATGCAGTCTGTGGTTTAGGGAGAGTAAGGTGTTTCTTTTTATTATTTCTTTTATTTTGTTGCCTTTGCTGAATCTTACTCCACAGTGCAAGGGCAGTGGCATGTCTGGAGATTGTTACAGCTTGACAACGGTCATCATCACCAGAGTTTTTGTTTCTGAAACACTGTTATTAAGTCCTGGTGGGAAGAGCTGATGACATGCCTCAGAAAAACACTAAGCCGGAGCTGAGTGGTTGGTGTGGGAGTGAATCCTGGTGTCACTTCTCTTGGTCAGGCGTTTGTGATAAGGAAGTGGCTGCCTTACAGGTTTTTGCTACATGAAAGCCCTCCAGCAACTGGTGAGATCTCAGTTCAAGTGCCTCCTACTTCAATAGTGGAGAAGTCTTAACTTCAAGTCCCAAAATAGGAATCACTCATTTGTCCTCTTGAAGCTGGAATTGGTCAAATTGCCCTAAAATCCAAGGGTCAGAATATTCACTGCAGTCCAACCGACACAGAACCATTTCTTGTTGACTTTGCTGCAGAATTGAATTGCTACCAGTGCAGTTTATTCAACCTTCAATCGGGAAATGCAAAAGGATTTTTCTTTCTTCATTCTTTCACTTCAATTCTTAGGAGCATCTGAGAAGTCATTTGCCTGAAGTGGAAATGACTTCTCAGATTTGACCTGTTGTGCCAAATGTGAAGCATCCTGATAGAATCTATTTGATGAACACTTTCACAAAAAAACAAACAAACAAACAAAAAACCTTCCTTACATAGCAACTTCTTCAAACAATTCAGGCAAAATAAGGTGATCTGGGACATAAGGCACTGTTTTATGAGGGACAAGCAATAATACAGGTGTTCAAAGACCATAGAGCAGTACAATTTTGGAACATCAACAGGAATTGATCAGATCCTAAAGTCATTGTGACAAGCAATTCATAATCAGTTTATATATATAAAAACTGTGCCAAAATGTAAGGCAAGTTTCAAATAACTGATTCCATTTTTACTATTTTATAGTAATCAAAACCTTGAGAAGCTAAACGTACTTGAGTTCTATTTGATCAGATCCAAGTCTCTGTCACTATCAGTTAAGATGTTAAAGTTCAGATAAAGACTGAACATGTATTGTTTTTATGGGTGAGTTGCTAGGAGATAGTCTTTATGCTCCAAATATAGCGGCACAGCTTAGTTACAAAGCTGCAAAAATTGAATAAACCACAAGGCATTTGAAGTGATTGTGTTCAGCTGTTTGATCATAATACACAGAGCTAAACTAAAATACATCAGTACTAACACCTCAACCACTGAAATCAGGAAGAGATGTGGTGGATGATTTAGACTCGTTTTGGAGTCATTGCATTATGGTGGCTACCAGTTGTCAAAACAATCACGAGGGAGTTTTTTTTTTTTTCCACTAAAACTTTTCATCGTCATATGAAAGGCCATCTGTCGATCAGGTGAAGCCTTTTAGAAAGTAAGAGTAGAAAACAGTGACCCCAAACAAGATTACATGACTGTAAAAGAAAAAAAGAACTGAGGAGTCATGCAAGGATGTCTCCAAAGAGACGGGGGCAATAAACATCGCTTTTATGCTAGATCAATTCAGCACACCATGATTCTGCTAATGCCATGTCTCATGGTAAAAATATTATATTGAAGGTGGAGTGCAGTGTTAGTTTTCAGTCACACATCTTGCACGTAGGGCAGGAAGTTCAATTTTGGGCTCATCTGACAAAACATTGTTTTTTCATGTGATGCAGTTTGTGGCAAACTGTAAATAGTACTTATAATGAATGATTTTGTTCCAAGTCTTCAAGTAAAACCATAATCAATCATTGTGCTGTCTACAGAATCTCTGAAATGTGTTACCATGAGCCTCCTTTCTGAATAATCCAGTTCTTGCCAAAGCCTGTAGGATCAGGTGTTTGTCACTGCAGGTTTGCAGTTGTGCAAATTTGCATGACTGCATTTTCACATGTAGATTGAACAGGTTTTCAAAGCATTGGATATTACTTTACAACCCAACAATGACTTAAACCTTTTCACAATGTTGTTCCCTAAACTGCAGGTGTTTTTTTTTTTTTTTGTGTTCACTAATGTTTTCTATCAAACCACTGAGGTCCTTACAAGACAAATGGATTTATAGGTGAGTAATGAGCTGACTTCCATGAAAAGTTATTTTTCACTTAACAGTTTACAAATTCGCTTCCTAGAACTTGTTTCCCACAGGAAGACAATCCGTGGCACACTCCCTCCAGCGTTCATTTGTCATAACTATACACTTCACCATAAAACATTGGTTGAGACAAACAGGACAAAAGTTCAAAGCATGCTTAAGTGATGTTTGCACAACTCAAAGAGTGTTTCTCAGGATTCAAGTTTGTTTTAGATGGTAGGTTCATTCAACTGTCAAAAAATGTAAGCTTGGTGGAGAAGTTTAACTTTGTAGTTTAGAACAACCATATATCATAGTTTCAAGTAATAATGACTTCAATTCCGAGACAAACTTACTGAAAACAAAAACAATAATAATTGGTTTATTAATATTGTTTTTACATAGCAAACACTGTAGGAGCAGCAGAGGACCACAAGTTCTGGAGTATGTCAATGTGTGTGTATGTGCACGTGTGTGTGTGTGTGTTGTGTTCAGCAGCAGGGAGGAATAGCCGGTCCTGTTTTCTCCTTTGAGTTGGCTACGCCACAGTCACACGTCATCACCAGCGACCAGTAGACTTGAACATTGCTCCAACTTGACAATTTCTCCTCAGCAAAAGGCAAAGAAAACACACTAAATAATCCTTCTTATTGCCCAAACGTTCAGAATAAGAAATACAAATATTTAAATATTTGGATGGCATTCATTTAATAGAGGGGAACTATTGCCTTCTTTCATTCAGAGAGGGTAGCCACATTTTTTACTTTATAGTGACTCACTCAGGATCCCTCCTTTTCTACTGAGCTTTCCCCTTGGATAAACAGTTTAAAAGTGCTATAGATACGCCCCGTCCTCCGTCCAATTAAAAAAAGTATTCCTCATTGCCTTTTTATAGGTGTCTTTGCCAGTGAATATATATGTGGCAATTACTTTAACTTTACAACATTTGTACATGAATTAAGGCCAATCCTATTCTTACAGTATGTACAGTACCACCACAAACCATGGCTACATAAAGACACAATTATTTAATTCATAGATCCAGTTGTCCTCTGAAATGATAATGTGTTAGTTCCTCAGTTTAACTCGATGTGCCTTGAGCCATAACTCCCTCTTGTGTCCACAGTTTGGTTTTCTTTTGCCAACAGCATGTACAGTAGTGATTTAGTTTGTAAACGTGAAAAGCCAAAGAGAAGGTGCCGTTCACTCCTCATCTGTGCAAACCTGAAACGGATAAACAGAAGATCTTGTGAGGGCTGGCTGATTATGGATGAGTCTTTTTATTAGCTTTTCAAACAAGTAAAATCTTACACATTTATTACACAAAGATTTTTTCAAAGTGGTTATTTTTCTTAATTTTGCTGATTATGGCTAGCAGCTAATGAAATCATAAAAATTATCTTCGAATGTCAGGTAAGGAATATAAAAAATAAAGTATATGTTAATACATGAATTTTATGGCCATATTATTATAAAAAGTAGCTAAAATTTCAGTGTTGCTTAGGTTTAGTAAAGTTAGCATAGCTATTCATCAGGTATGTTCGAACACTTTATGTCTCTCTGCAGACAAACGTTCTGCCAGAAATACAGACAACTTGGACATTATAACATTTCAGCAGACTCCCAAGGTTGATCAAGTCGTCATGACTTCAGTATTTTAGGAAAAACAAGGCCAGACCAAGTACTGAGAATTTATTTTTAGCAGTACATGAAAATACTTCTCAGTAGACTGGCATGTCTGGATTATTGGTGTGATGTAATATTTCATCTTAGTTTTATTTATTTTTTTATAAAACTCGAAGGCTTAAAAGGGCGTTTTGACATTGAAAGCTAATCTTTTTTACCTTGACAAACGGGTGGTCAAGAAGCACGCTGGCTGTCCAGCGGCGTTTAGGTTCGCTCTCTAAGCAGTGACCCAGGAAGTCCTTCCCCTCCGTGCTGAGCTTCTCAGGGATTGGTGGTTTGTGGCCCATGCCCACTTTGTACATGATCTGAAAGTTGTGCTCGTACTCATGCCAGGGCCTCTGCAGATAAACATCATAAAGTGAGTCATTTCTTTGTGGTATTTTTTTTAAGTTTTCCTTTGTTATTCAGGTGAACTTACTCTGGTGGGAACAAAAGAGGAAGTAAAAACACAACACGTTTAGGCCTGCAAATGAAAATAACTTCTTTTTTTTGGACAGTTTCTGTTATGTAAAAAGCAGCTTTAACCACAATCAGTTTTCACTGGAAGTTTTGCAGAGTGCCTCACTGGCACTGGGTGAAAAGGAAACTTGTGGAACTTTTTAAAACACTGAAAAATGTACCTTTACTAATTTATTACAAATAAGCATAGAGAGCTACAAAAGAGTACATGAGAACTGCATCAGATCTGTGATTAGTCTTGGTTTACACAAAACAAACAAAGCTATGATACTTCATAATGAAATGGAAATATCTTATACATCCTTGCTTACCTTTCCAGTCACCATCTCAATCAGGACGCAGCCCAGGCTCCAGATATCTGCTGCTCGCCCAT